GTGCTCCTTTGCAACCCAGGCCATTCTATGATTCTTCACACAGTGCCCTTGGTTGGGTTGGCTGGGAGATGGCACTGTAAGTCTGCTTCTTTGCACAGACCTGGATCAAACTGCATTGGATTTGGAGGGGGCTGGGGGCTTCTGTAGATCTCCATTGACACAAATTGCTTGCACAAAGTGCTGTTTTTTCACCTGTGCTCTCATTTTCTAGGAGAAGGGAGCTGCAAAGGCAGGAGGTTGGCACTGAGGAGGTTTTGGTCTCTTTTGTCAGGTGTCAAATGATAGGATGTGAGGAAGCGGCCTCGGGTTGTGCTGGGGAGGTTGAGGTTGGACATCGGGAGGAGTTCCTTCATGTAGATGTGGGTCAGGCACTGGAACCATTGCGTGGGGCAGTGATGGAGTTCCCCATTCCTGGAGGTGGTGGAGAGGTGGGGTTCGGTGATAGGGCTGATGGTTGGACTTGATGACCTTGTAGATTTTCAGCAGCCTGGATGGTTCACAATTTTATGGGTTGACTGTATGGCTCACTAAAAACCAAACAGCCCTATAAAGGATAGGAGTTATTCATTTCCAGTCAGCAGTTTCTTGGTTTGAAGTGATTTAACCCCACGTAGATAGCTCTGCCATTGAGGTTGGGATTTCTGCCTCTGCAGGATTTGGTGTCCACAGGAATGATAGAAAACAGCACACAGCTCCTTGTTGGATGTGAGGAAATGTTTCTTCTCCAATAAAGAAGTGATGCAGTGGCACAGCTGCCCACAGAGTGCTGGGGTCACCATCCCTGGAGGTGCTCCAGAACCACAGAGATGTGGCACTGAGGGATGCAGACGTGGCAGGGGTTGGTTGAGGTTGGGGATCTTTGATGTCTTTTCCAACCTGAATGGTTCAATGATTCTATAAGGCATTAAATCCTGCTATAGGTCAATGTGAAGCGTTCTGGGACTGATGGTAAGGGGTTGGTAATTCCAATTTGTGATCACTGGTGGCTGCAAAGGGGCACAGGAGCTTTGCGTCAGTCTCTGAATTCATTTTTCATGGAATCACAGAATGGCCTGGGTTGCAAAGGAGCACAATGCTCATCCAGTTCCAACCCCCTGCTATGTGCAGTGTCGCCAGCCAGCAGACCAGGCTGCCCAGAGCCACATCCTCCACTTGGTCTTGTGCAGTTCTTCAGCTTAAACAACCTCTTTGCCCTCTCCTCCCTTTTTAACCTGAGCTAACAGAGCCTGCAGTTAATTGACCCAGATGGCAGTCACACAGTAAACATTGCTACAAGGCAATCACACGAAATCTCCTCAATAAACACAATTTAATAGAGTGAAGCACTGTGAATGATTGCAGAGCAGCCTATCAAAGGGAAATGCTTAGTGCTGTGTGCTGCCTTATGGCGGGTGGTGCTGGGATGTCCTGGGAAAGCAGCACCAGGGGTGGGGTGAGCACACAGGGCTCAGCTCCACAGCTCACCTCTGATTTTGTTTCTGGATTATCATAAAACAATGCTGTTGGATTAACTCAGGAGGAAGCAAGTTGTGTTTGGAGAATGTTTTTGGCCCTCGTGGTCCAACCCATCAATTCTGCAGTTCCTTGATGCTTCATCTGCCCAACAGCACTGTGTGGAAAGGCTTTCTGAGCCCATTCAGATGAATGAAGGACTGGAGCACCTCCCCTACAAAGGCTGAGGGAGCTGGGCTTGTTCAGCCTGGAGAAAAGAAGGCTGTGGGGTGACCTCATTGCAGCCTTTCAGTACCTAAAGGGAGCCTACAAACAGGAGGGGAATCAACTCTTTGAAAGGGTTGATAACTGCAGGACAAGGGGAAATGGTTTGAAGTTGAAGGAGGGAAGATTGAGGTTAGATGTCAAGGGAAAGTTCTTTGCTATGAGAGTGGTGAGGTGCTGGAACAGCTGCCCAGAGAGGCTGTGGATGCCCCGTCCATCCCTGGAGGTGTTCAAGGCCAGGTTGGATGGGGCCCTGGGCAGCCTGGGCTGCTATGAGATGTGGAGGTTGGTGGCCTTGCCTGTGGTGGGGGGTTGGAGCTTCGTGATCCTTGAGTTCCCTTCCAACCCAAGCCTTTCTATGATTCTGTGAATGAACCCACACTCAGGTTCTGTTTCCTGTTTCCATTTCTGCTTTTGTAACGCTGTGTCTGTTGTGTAACTGAAGCTGCAACACTTTTGCAGCAGGAGATGAAAAACAGGAGAAGCTCTTGGAAAAGCTCTCTCTCCTGGGCTGTGCGCCCCCAGCCTGCCTGCACAGTAATGGTATTCCAGCACTAATGCACACCTTTGCCTTTCATGCCACTTGAAGCAGCGCTGCCATCGCTCCCAGGAGTGGATTCAGTGTGCTGTGCTGGGCTCCTGCCTTGGGGCATTGGCTGCTGCTCCATCTTTGAGGTCTTTTTCCAACCTTCATGGTTTTATGGCTCTATGATCCTATGACTCACGTCGGGCGCTGCCGGGATGGGCGATGACCCAGCAGTGAGCTGGAACCTTCAATGCGTCCAATCCCTCCGTGTTCGGTGGGGTGACATTTCTAACAGCTGGGAGGGGACACCGCGGGTGTCCTTGTGCCGTGCTGCCCACGGGGCTGGGCTCTGCTCGGTGCTCCGCCCCGGGGTTGGGGCAGCTATGGGTGGAGATATTGCCCAGCCCCAATCCACAGCTCGACAGCCAGTCCCGATACACGGCCTGACAGCTGCAGGTAAGGGAGCTCCGGGAAGGGGCTGAGTGCTGGCACTGGGGGTCCTGGGTTGGACACAGCTCCCATCCTTGGGGAGTTGGGTTGTACGGCTTTGCCCACCATCCTTCACGTATCAAGGGTTGCTTTGCTTCTAAATCCTTTTCCCAAATGGTTTCTCAATGCGTGGCAGAGGCTGAGCCTGGAAGGAGCCCGGTGTCACTGTGATGGTTGGATTCAGCCATCTTAGGAGGTCTTTTCCAACTTTAACCACTCCATGAATTATAAAATGGGACTTTCAGAACTCATGGGGTTCGTTGGCACCTGCCTGGCTGTGCTGGGACTGTCTGCATTGGGCTCCTGCAATTAGTGGGGCACTGGGGGTGCAGAGCCCGTCCTGCACCCTGGGAAGCAGAGGGATGGAAAAAGCAGAAGGCAAATATCTGCACTGCCAGGTAGGGACAGCTGAAAGTCATTGCTCCTGGCCGGTGCCTGAAGCACTGCTTGGAAGTCACGGAGGCTCTGCGTTGCCTTTTGCTGGGGGAAGGGTTTGGTGCTGGGGAAACTCGGTGTGATTTCCGTATTGCTGAAGCAGCTCGACCAGGTTCGCTCAGACCTTTGTGTTGCTCAGTGTTTCTTTTGAAGAGAATCAGACTTCTCCGCTTTCCGTTTGGAATTTTCCTTTTTCCCTCCCATTTCTGCCTCTTCCTATTTTTTTTTTTCTCTCTCTTGGCTTATGAATGCACTCTTTGATAGCAGGAATTCAGCCCCAGGCCGCAGCATTTCTGCATGGCGCAGCTTCACCTTTTGTGGTGGCTGCAAACCCCACTGCAATCCGCACGTCTCCAATGGGGACAGCACAGGGGAGTCCCCCTGTAGGACCCCTCCTCTCCCACCCCATCCCAGCTGCAGGCCGGGCTCCTGCAGGGTCTTTGGGTTTGGGATTCTGTGGCACCTCTCGGCCCAGCAGTTGTTATGATAGAGGTGGTGAACCACAAACAGCCGTGTAACCTGGGAGGGGAACAAAACGACCTCATGATGTCCTTCATCTTTTTGTTTTAGGAAAATGTCGGACGGTTTCTCTGTGAGTATTGATTTCTTGAAAAAACACACACACAGGCACTGTGGTGGTCATTGCATGAAGGTGGGGACTTATGGTGGGACTTGGCACAGCTGCCCAGGGAGTGGTGAGGAAATCATCCCTGGAGGCGTTCAGGAACAGCGGGGATGCGGCACTGAGGGACGTGGGCAGTGAGAATGCTGATTTTGAAGTCTTTTCCAACCTTAGTGATTTTGTGATTCTATGATTCCATGTTGTTACCAATCCGTGTAACACCAATCAAGGAGCATTAAGGGACTTTTGGGCTCTCAGCACCACTGGGGCTCCTGGCCGTTCCAGCGTCGTGCAGGCCATGAAGGCCAGGTGCTGGCAGCCCCACTGGATGCTGCCTCTCTTTCCCCTCCTCCTCTCCCCTCCATCCTCAGCTCTCCGACGCCTTGCCTGCTCACAACCCTGGTGCCCCTCCACCCCAGGGCTGGAACCGGCCCCCAGGACCTGGGGCCTTCCCGGCGTACCCTGGATACCCTGGGCCGTACCCGGGGGCACCGGGACCCCATCATGGACCACCAGGACCCCATCACGGACCACCAGGACCCCATCACGGACCACCAGGACCCCATCATGGACCACCAGGACCATTCCCTGGAGGACCACCAGGGCCATATCCTGGAGGACCAGCAGCAGCAGGACCATATTCTGGAGGACCAACTGGACCGTACTCTGAAGCTTCAGCTGCTCCACTGGTAACAGCTCTGACATATTTTAAAGATTTCTGTTGCTCCAGTTCCTCATTGTGCTTGGCTTGGGAGGGACCTGGGGTTGCGTGTCCTTAGGAGGTTGCACGAGCAGTCACACTGCTGTCACACCAACACCCAACCCTTGCCTGACTATCAGGTCTGTGCTGCTTGCTAACATGCTGCTCTGCTAACACCAAAATCTCTGTCCTCTTCAGAAAATCCCCTACGATCTGCCCCTGCCAGCAGGACTCATGCCTCGGATGCTCATAACCATCACGGGGACTGTGAACCCAAATCCCAACAGGTACGGATGGGTTGCAACAGTGTTAAGGTGCTGAGGGATAGGGTTCACTTTCTGAATAACACAGACCTTCTGTGAAATCAAATGTGACACAAAATGATCATGCGAAAGCCCCCAGAACTGCTCTGTCGCTGTTTAGTGGGCTCTGTACATTTATGTGCTTTGCAGCAGCCCTGGAAGACAGCTCATGTCTTCAGAAGAAAAAGCAGCTCATTGATTATTGCCTTTGCAGGTTTTCACTGGATTTCAAGAGAGGGCAAGACATTGCCTTCCACTTTAACCCCCGTTTCAAGGAAGATCACAAAAGGGTCATCGTCTGTAATTCAATGTTCCACAATAACTGGGGAAAAGAGGAGAGAACAGCTCCTAGATTTCCATTTGAACCTGGAGCCCCCTTCAAGGTAACAATGAAGAAATTAAAAAAATCTGTTATTCCCATTTCTTACTGCATTCTCCCTATTTGTGCTGTCATTGTGCAGCAGCTATTGGGCAGGTTGCTGTAAGGCATTCTTCTGCATAGAATCATAGAATGGCCTGGGTTGCAAAGGACCACACTGTCATCCAGTTCCAACCCCCTGCTATGTGCAGGGTTGCCAACCAGCAGCCCAGGCTGCCCAGAGCCACATCCAGCCTGGCCTTGAATGCCTGCAGGGATGGGGCATCCACAGCCTCCTTGGGCAACCTGTTCCAGTGCCTCACCACCCTCTGGCTGAAAAACTTCCTCCTAAAACCTGCAGTGCAGTCCAACTCTTCCTCCAGTCTGTTTCTCCTGCAAAACGGTTGCACTCTGGCCTCCCTGCATTTCATGCTGCTTGAAAGGCGTGGTCATGGGGCAGACACTGCAGCTGAATCAGAGGAAGATGAGCACAGCAGAGTTCTGAGGAAGGCAAAGGTCACCGGTGTTCCTGCAGCTGATGGTTCCAGTTTGGCTCACTTTGCATTTTAATTTCAGCTCCAGGTGCTCTGTGAGGGAGATCACTTCAAGGTAGCAGTGAACGATGCTCACCTGCTGCAGTACAACTTCCGTGAGAAGAAGCTGAATGAGATCACCAAGCTCTGCATTGCTGGGGACATCACTCTCACCAGCGTTTTGACCTCCATGATTTAATTACCAAGCTGTACCTTTAACACAAGTCTAGCACTCCTCAGAGAGTTGTAACAGGAGTGCCTGCCTGTGTGATTATTTTGAAGCAATAAAGCATTTTCACAAGTAAAATTTGTTTTTGGTTAAGATACAAGCTGTATTTGAATGTGGAAGAAGCTGAATTCTTGCTTTAGAATTTGAACCTTTGCCAGAGGATAATGACTATGAGTCATTTCTGATTTGCAAGAAGAATATGTGGGAAAGCTGTATGTAGCCTACAGGCAGTTGTCCTATGAATGAGTTAAGATTGGGCTGAAGGTTACTGCTGGAAGTCCCAGATAACAGATCAACATTTTAGCCTCAGTTCCTCTGCTAGTAGAGGAACTTTTTATATCGAAGTATTGCTGCAAAGTGGTGCTTTGGTTCTCTCTAAAGGGGAAACACGAGAGTAGGAATTGCCTGGCCAGGCTGGGAAGGCTTTTGCATAAGTGACAAAGTGCCACTTCAACACTAGGGAACACTGAAAACTCAAAAGTGTCTGATCCTGACCAGAACAAGGCATTTCAGGAGGGGGCTCAAAGCTAAGGCTGAAGGAAACAAAACTTCCCCCCTCCTCCATTTCAAAGACTTGTTTTGCCTGCACAGCTGTTTAGAATGCCCTAAATCTGCATATCCTTCTCACACTTCCAACCTGAGGGAGATGCACTCCATACATACATTGCACACCCCATCACACAGATCACAAGCCCTGTGGTGCTTCTCCCACCTCATCACTTCCCCATCAGCCAAGAGCAGTTTCAGGGGTGGGGTGGAGGTTTACTGGCAAGTTCATCACATGAGTCACGCTGGTAAATAAAGTATGACTCACAGCAAAGGGAACATTCTTCCAATCTTGTCTGCAGAACAACTGTGTAAGAGCCACTACTGAAGTTGTTTAGGATCTCTTTGACACATCCCATACCCTTTTGTAACAGTTGCTTCATTTATCCATACAGTTGCCAAGTAACAACCACAGTGTTCAAAGTTCTAGCCTAGGACCAGCACAACACTAGTAGTGCCCTAAGTGTATACACCAGATCCAAAAATCCCCCTTTACCACTATTGATTGCAGTATTGAACACTGAGAAGAGATACAGTCTTTCAGTACCTAAAGGGAGCCTATAAAACAGGAGGGAAGTCAACTCTGAAAGGGTAGATAACAGCAGGGCAAGGGGAAATGGTTTTAAGTTGAGGGAGAGAAGACTGAGGTTGGATGTCAAGGGAAAGTTGTTTGCTATGAGAGTGGTGAGGTGCTGGAACAGCTGCCCAGAGAGGCTGTGGATGCCCTGTCCATCCCTGGAGGTGTTCAAGGCCAGGTTGGATGGGGCCCTGGGCAGCCTGGGCTGCTCTGAAATGTGGAGGTTGGTGGCCCTACCTGTGGTGGGGGGTTGGAGCTTCGTGATCCTTGAGATCCCTTCCAACCCAAAGACATTCTATGATTCTGTGAGGACTTGCCTTTTATCTTTTTGAAGCTATCTATAAAACCAAAAGTTCATTCCAGCACAGTAACATTGGTCAGGTCAGCTTCCTCCATTTATTTCAGTGCTATCAGTACACAACTTCCAAGTTAGAATTGCAGTCAAACAAGAAGCCCCAGATGCAATGACAATGCCTTCTGCTGAAGGGTTTGTGTCACATTTGCTTAGCTGACAATAAAGACCAGTGGAAGAATGTGTGTACCACACAAAGAACAGCATTACAAGAAGCAGGCTAATCAGACACCTCTTAAAAATATAAGAACTGGAGGTACTCTACTACATATACACTCCATGTTGAAGTAGGAGGAACTGGCACACTCCTTGTGCTTAAATATATTAGTCCAGATGAGAGAATGCTTATGGAGCAAGATGCAAGAGGAGGCTGAGGTTAACAGCCAAATGTGCAAGGAGAGTGGTTAAGAGACTTCCAGATGAAAAAATAAGAGAAAATGGAATTTAGCTTGAAGGTACTTAATGACACAGCTTACCACTGAGCATCTTCAAAAATCCATCCCTATTTAATACAATGTAAGGAATAGATGTTATCTGATTTTGAAATGCTTGAATTTCTGCTGTTACAAAGCAAGTGATTGTTAGGCAATAGGAAAAATCCCACAGGAAAGGAAAGAATCAAACCTCATCCCATCTACTGATTAGGTGCAGTTAATGCATGGAGTACTGGACTAAAGGGTGCAACAGCACACTCACAGCACTGATTGAATACAAAACAGTGCTTGGGGGTAGATAACAGGCACCTCTGGAGGTGCCCTCATCACAAATGTAGATAGGTGCAGCTAATGGAACATGTCTGTTACACAAACCATATCCCATCTCTTATAAAAACAACTCATGAAGTAATTAAGGTCAAGACAGAGAAGATTAAAGGTGGACAGTTTCACAACTCAAAGGAGACAAGAAACACATGAAATTATACAAAAATAAGAATACGTATTCATTGGATGCAGGAGGTAAAGCCAGCAAACTGCACAGCAATGTGCACAGTGCAATGACTGCACTATTGCTCATGGCAGAAATGTTACCAAGTTTTCTACCAAGTTCCACTAGGAAATACTGTAGGTGTCATGAAGAACACAGCTCAAGGGTTGCAGACGGTATTTCAGACAGCCTCTGTTTTTTACTGAATATAATTTACTCATTTTAAATTTCCAGTCATTCATTTTTCTCCAGAGGGAGAAAGAGGAGAAAATACAATCAGGTCACTGAATGTTTCAGCTGCTGCAAACTTCTGGACGTTGTTCTTGACTGGAGTGAAGGGAAGCTCACCATCCAGCATGGGCTATGGGAGAAATCAGTGGGAATTAAGCACTCAAAAGCAACAGTTATCTGTTCTACAAAACAGCTCCGCAAGGGCACACAAAACAAGCTAATGGCAAATCCCCCTATGGACACACTGCAGCTTCAGAACATGCAAAGCAAAGACCTGCCAGGAAGATCTGAAACCCTTCCTGAAATCTACAGCAGTTTCGTGGATGCAGAAATGCTCATGTATTTGTCTTTATGTGGTATTTGGAACTGTGGATGTTGCCTAAAAAAAGTCATTCACCACTTCAAGATCCATGGCTTTCCTAAGGAATCCTGCAAGCTTGTTTCTAGGCAGAAAATAAGGAACCAGTAGGTGGTCCTTTTTGAAGGCACTCATTACTTAAAGCAGTAATCTACATGTTAAAGAGGATTTTTTCCTATGTGAGACCAAGAAAACTGTACATCCAAATTCTTTTAACTATTTGAGAACTTTCGTACATCTGTTTTATCTTGTTGGATCTTGCTTCTGTCTGCAGAAAATAAATCTATAGAGATGGGATAGAACAGACCTGGAAAACTCCAAGTAAGTGGAAGGAAAAGTCAGGTGGTTCATTATGTTAGTAAATATCTACAAGGAAATCCACAAGAAAAGTCATTTTAATGATCAGCCTGAAGAGATCAGTCATTCTTCTGTTACAAGTCTCAAGTTGTCCTATGTTTGATGTGTGCAACAAGGAATGAGTGTGAGCCAGGACAAGGAGACAGAAACTGTGGCCTGCATTTATTAGAGTAAGTTGTATGCTTTGGTTTGATAACATCATCCTCCAGAGCTTAATTTACTTCATGTAGAAACTGATTCTGCAGAAAAGGTTAATGGTATTGTAACAAGCAGACTGTAGCCAAATAAACAGAAGGGTCAACTTACTGTATCTGAAGTTCTGTCAATGGAAGCCAAATCTCTCGACAAAACATCTGAAAAATAACAACACTTTATTATTTTCTTCTGAGGTTAGCCTGATGTTGCTAAGGCTGAGAAAACAGCATTGTTTTCTGTATTTACTGAAGCAAAACAGATCAGCTTGCAACTACTTCTACTGCAAGCCTCTTCTACCAGGTTTCTGCTTCATGTACCACAGGGAAATTACATAGAAAAGTAATGGGAACTGTTTGTTCACATGCAGAGCACAGATAAGTCATACTAACAAACGTAGGTTTTGCTACAAGCATGCACAGACTAACAAAACTACAATAGCAGTGATTTCAAAGAATAATATTTAGACTACAAAGTCTGTAGAATAAACCTAAGAACCTAGCAATACCACAAACTGCAACAGCTTGAAGATATGTACCCATTTGATACATTTTTGGTTCTCCAGGCTGAGTGAAGCTGAAGCCAGTGCACATACCCTTCTCTGGACTGCACATGGTGATATCTTGTCCCTGTTGTTCTGGAGCAGATAGTTCTATCTCTTCCATGCCATCCACTACTTTCAATTCACTGCTACAATTTTTCAGCACCTGAAAAAAAACCAGGAATTTTAACTGTTCCTAACCTTCTGTAGAGCTCAGATGTCAGCTGTGTTTGCTCCCCAGAGAGCCAGAAGCAAAACATCAGTGCTATCAGAAGGACATAAAGCAGTTTGAACGACAGCAGGAAGCTTCCTTTTCTGTTTTGTCTGCTGTAAAAAGCAGTTTGGTAGCTTTGATGCAGCAAGCACAAAGGAGAAAAGGTGGCCAGGACATTCAAGTGAAGTGAGTTTACAAAAACCAACACATCTGTATTGTGTTAAACACAATTCATACATGACATCTACAGGTCTTACTGGCAATTTAGAAGAGAGGTTTTGAACTCCAGCTTGTACAAAGGTCAGGAAAAGCAAAGCTGTGAGCTTAACACTGTGATTTATTTCTTGTGAACTATTTGCCAAGCACCCTCATAAATGGGATTATCTTTTAAAGAGTATATAAAGAAATTCTTCCACAAACAGATTTTGAACTTAAAGTGCCAAAAAGCATTTTGAGGTTGTTCTCTTATGAGACTTTACCTCAAAAAAATACTACCAGCAATACCAAATGTTAAAGATTGCCAGATTCCCCAGATAGTAGCATCACCAACAAGTAACTTCTCATGTTACTTGTGAAAACAGCAGTAAAAAGAATAAGAGCAAATAGTAACACTTTAAAATACAAGCATGTATGTGTGCGCATGTATGTATATATAAAGTCTGCTGCAGCAATGTATAGATCCAAGAAGTAACAAAAATTAAGATCCTACATCCCCAATGAAAGGAACTACTATGGACTAGTATTCTGGACTTCAATGGCTACTCAGAAACTGGCATGTCACCAAGCCAACAGACGTACCAGGACACAGATTTCTGAACTCTGATACTTATGTTACTAACAATGCTCTTGCTGCACCTTTGAACAGTTTAACAGCCTCATGGTTTGATGTGGCAACACAGAGACCCAGAGAGCTAGATACTATTGTTCCTTTCAGGCTTAGCTCCCAATGCAAATCCATTTAAGAATTCACACCAGAAAAACAGGAAGTGGGCTTCAAGGAGCAGTGCTTGGACAAGTGATAAGCATCATACAGCAGAGCCATCAAGAGCTCCAAAAGGTAGCTCCAAAATTGGGAGAATGCAAGAAAGCTCCAGCAGTCCTAATCTGTGTCCTACAGAACAGGAAAAAGCCTCATCCTGAGGAACACTGAAGATATTTTGAATGTTTGATCAGATATCCAAGTACCCAGGGCTAATAAAAACCAACTGTGAAACCAGCAAATCAGGTTTGGGCACTTGGGCACCCTTATCCTGAGTGGGACAGGGCAAGAAAGAAGCAAGAGGACAAGCTTTGAACACAGCACTGAGTTTCCTCAGGCAATGAGAGCTGCTGCAATAGGTAGATTTGAAGTATCAAATCACATTTCTGCACACAAGGATAATCAATCAAGATGTCCACCCACTTAAGATGTGAATATCTGTCACTCTTTGTCTTCAGCTAATAGTACAAAGATGTTAAAGGACACACATGAACTAAGCATGACTTACCCTAGTCCCCTCTGCTGTGCCAGGATTGTGTTCTTCTGCAACGAGGGAAATGCTGAAAAGAGAAACAACAATCTTTTCATTCTTCTCAATCAAAAGATTTTGACATGCACAACTGATTTGAAATTAGCTCTCCAATTATGCTCGCTGGTTTGGCACAAGTCAGCTATATAAAATTTTCTGGACAAAAAAAACCCCAAAACTTCCACCCTGCAGTGAGACTACATTTGGGCAAAGCTCCTAACTTTTGCTTGAGGAAAGGAAAAAATAGAATGACTTCACAACCTTCTTTCAGTGTGGGAGGGATAAAGGTTAACTCTTAATGGACATTAAGATCAATTATTCTAATTAAAATTGGACAATTATTTGCACAAAGCTCAATTAAAAGCTGCCTTAATGTAGCTACCTTTGTTCAAGAAAACCACCAGGGAGAGTTGTTTCAGTGGGAAATGGGTGCATTTCCAAATGTTGTGCTGGGTGGCAGCCTTTGAGCAGTGGCGTTGTTTGCTTTGCAGTTGTATCCTCAGGGTTACAAAGCACAGAACTGCTCTGCAGCAAAGCTCTTCTGGATGATCTTGGAGCTGTCAGACCTTCAGAAGTCTGCTGGGATGATCTGCAAGGCATCTTTGAAAGTGAACCTGAAAAAGAGCATTTAATGTTTTATTACAACAGCAGTTTCCAGGAGATGAAATTGTTAGGATTCTAGCTAGTAATATCTACTACTACTTGTGTGTTTTGTATATTATATTTGTTATATACACTGCAAGCAGAAATTGATAAATATGTGGTGGCAACCACACCAATAAGTTACAAAGCTACCATAGCACCAGCTAAGCAATTTAGCACTACTACTCATTCACAAAGAACCTGAAACAATGAGATTTGCTGTTCTCATTAAATCCACATGGTGGAAGCTGTTGACATTAAGTTCAATATCTCATGTTAGATAATTCTGATAGAATTAAAAAAGATAAATTTCTAATGGATTTTTATAACATTCATTGAGAAAATCTTTGGAAACTCAAAATCATCTTTGGCACTTGAAATAGTGGAGAGAAGAAGAGCAGCTGTCAAACAAGGATCAGTGAAAGCACTAGCTTCAGACTGCAATAAGATAAATGCCCAAATGACAGACGTATTTGGAGCTTCTGCTCAAGAAAAGCTTCCAGCAGCTTTCCTAGCAGACTGGAATACACTATCATCCTGATGCACATAAATTCTGATTACAGATGTGCTGTATTTGCAAGCTTAAAGACAGCAGTGCAAAATTTAGTTCACAATAATTCCAATTCCTATCTTACAAATAAAGGCCATCAGCCTGCATTGACTCTGAACATGTCGCCTGCTAAGTCTAGGAATGTCCAGATTAAAATTTCATTGCTAAATGTACATTAAGAAAAAAAAATGGATCCAATTGCTTTTAACTCTGTATCTAAGTAGATATTTCACATCACTCTGATTTGAGCAATTATGGTAATCATGCAGAACAGTTTACTCTGGTTCCCTGACGTAACAAATCATTAGATGAAACATTAATTGTGCCTAGCACTGGAGTTATAGCCAGTATAAACAGCATAATCTGTCTCCAATGAGCTTGGTTCAAATCTCTTCAGCATTTTCAGGTCAGAGAAATAATGATTAAGCTTCACCCACCTGGAAAGCTTTTCACAGGGCTTTCAATTCTGAAAAATCCTGCTTCAAAAACCACTTTTTCTACTTCTGGTTGCTTATCCTGATACGAACTATCAGCAACTCCATCGTGCTTCATTTTATCCCTCATAGCTGCTTTTACAGCAGCAAGCCGCTTTCGGGCAGCAGTCCTTCCAGCTGCTCCCAGCTTTGGTTTACAGACCATATTTGGAACAGCCTTTTTCTGAAATTAAAAGAAAATAGAAGCTTCAGACAAATAGCTGCATGTAAACATCCAGGAGGCTGCTGGACACAGACAGCAGCAGGCCTGCTAGAGGCAAGATCGCTGTTTATCTCCAGAAAGTCTTGGACTGCCATTTAGCTATCAAGGTTCATTTACAATGCCAGTTTTAAGTCAGTTTCTCACACCAAATTCTCAGCTCAGAAATATTTGATATTTTCCTTAGAACTTTTTCTAACTGTAGTAGTTAACGTTTTCAAAAACAGTGGGATGCAGGGACTCCTAGTGGCACAGAGATAAAGTAACTCAAGGGCAGACACTCGTTAACCAGTGAAGTTTCTCCTGGCATTCATATTTCAAAGGAAGTTTTGTGTCATGTACTGTAACTACAGTTGAGACATTTATGGTCAGCTGATGTAAGACTACAATTCTCCAGTTCCACGTTTGGCGTTTCTTAGTGATCTTCATATCAATTTTATGATCAGATGAACAGTCAAGGAATGGCATGGAGTTTAGGCAGTGTGAACGTGATTCTTAATGCTGAGTCATTAAGAACAACTACATATTGCTCGGAGAAGAGAAGGCTCCAGGGAGACCTCGTTGTGCCCTTCCAATATTTGAAGGGAGCATAAAACAGGAGGGGAATGGATGTTTATGAGAATGGATAGTGATCAGACAAGGGGGAATGGTTTTAAAATGAGACAGGAGAGATTTAGGTTGGATATGAGGAGGAAGTTTTTCAGCCAGAGGGTGGTGAGGCACTGGAACAGGTTGCCCAAGGAGGCTGTGGATGCCCCATCCCTGCAGGCATTCAAGGCCAGGCTGGATGTGGCTCTGGGCAGCCTGGGCTGCTGGTTGGTGACCTGCACATAGCAGGGGGTTGGAACTGGATCAGCATTCTGGGCCTTTGCAACCCAGGCCATTCTATGATTCTATATTCCAAACCAAAATGGCAATAAAATAACTTACATTAAAGCCTATTTTGCAATAATCAATCCCACATTTGGGGCAGTGTCAGATCTATTTATGCTTAGAGGATTAGCTACCCATGGTCCTACCTTAATAAGTCACCATTATGAACTAGCACTCACTGCTTAAAACTGTCAGTTACTTCTAAATTCCTGTGACACATCAGTGCCAACACTGGTAGCTCAGAGAAAGTGTTTTACATTCAAAGGGTAAATTTTCTGTTCCAAATCTAACTCATTTGCCTTACTAACAAAGAGTTCAAGGACTCCATGAGTCAATGCTAATTCTTAGCAAAGGGGGCAACTAGTATCACAAGCACCAACTCTGAGCACATGTGCAAAATGGTGAACTTTGAAAAGAATTTCACTGAGTTTTTGATCATCATCAACATCTATAAGCAGGGCATTAGAAGGAACTTGCATTTGAGAAAAGTGTTCATTACTCCAATAGCTTACAAATTATTTTAAATATCTCAATACGTTGTTGTATCTTAATGCTTTAGGAGCCATACATACCTTGATAACTTCTTTGCCTGGTACAGCAACTGGTTGCCATTTGTTATCTTGAAGCTTCTGCAGATTATCAAATTTCTTATTCACATCTTCAATCTATTAGAAATCCCAGAGAAGTCCAACTTTAACTTCCAAGATTTACAAGATTCACACACACACACAAATCCACTGTTTAGGAAATTAGATGAAATGCACAGCCATGCTTATATTTGTTAAATACTTCTGCTTCAAACACCAAAGCAAACTAAAGCCTGCTATAGGGAGCCTGCTTTGCAATGGGGTTGGACTCTATGATCTCTAGAGGTCTCCTCCAAGCCCTACAATTCTGTGATTCTGTGTAAACCAGCAGATGACCAGAAGAAACCTGAACCATCCCCAGAGATATAATAAGCATAAGTAAAACATCTTTTTCCAGTAACTAGTTCTACAAAAGATTGCTTAACTGGTCCATGAATTGTAAAACCACAGTATATCAGCTGGTACTATTCACTGTTACAAAATGTTAAACAAGAACATATGTTTTTAATAGAAAAAAATATCTGAGTCTGAATATTTAAATGAATAAAAGTTTCAATGCATTGCTTCTAAATACCTCCATTGTGTGTATTTATTATAGTAGGTAAACATGCAAGTACATACCTGAAAATTAATCATATCCCAAAATCCATCCAAGTCTGTACATGTTGTTTCCTTTTCACCCCGCTTAAATTCACAGTTATCCACCAGTCCTTCAAACTGTTTAAACCTTTCTGCTACAAGCAGTCTTGTCTGGCCAACTGTTGTGCGAATGAGATCTTTAGCTGATGGTAACAAGAAAACAAGGGAAGAAATTAGAATATATTGGAATCATCCATCATTCCACAACTGATATAAATAAGTAATTGAGGAGTTTGGAATCTGCTTGCTGTTTAAACTAAGTTCAGACCTGCAATGCAATTTACCTGCAGCCCATCTCTCCACTGAAATCCTCTAACCTTGCTTTCAAAAAAACAACAAAAAAACAATTGCTACCAATTCTGCAAGTCTTTGAGATAAAAAAGCACATGCAAGTTAAAACATTTATATATATTTGTTAAAACTTATGCATTCAAACATACTTAGAATTTACAGAAAAGCTATTGCAATAGGCACTTCAACATCAACCACTATCAGCTCAGTATTCACTACTGTCACTTCAAACATTACACTTAAGATTTAATATTAGGAGATAGAGCATACTATTACTAATGCCTAATACAGCTCAGTCTTACCATCCTCTGGAATGTCCAGCTCAAGTTTTCCATCCCACTGAAGGCACTGAGACATCAGTCTGTCTGTCTCAGACTGAAGAATGTTTCTTAAAATAAATAATAAAAAAAGTAATTTGAGAACATTCCAACTGTTGTCACTATTTGTAACTGTTAATTATTATTATTACCCTTTTGCTTTCAGACAAGTTACACAGTCTTTGAGCAGAACCCATTAGATTGCTTCAGTTAAGACTAGCTGTAATGTAGTTTATATTACTTTCAAGCTTTATGTACATAGGATGCAGCATTAGTCTTCAGAGTTTTATATTCTTTACTTGCACTAACAATAGGAAAGGAAGGACAGCAATGAACGAGCACCAGAATTGCTACTGACAGACATCAACCACTATAAGCTACTGTTAACAAGTTGTTACTCTTGTTCAGGACCCAGAACAGACAACCAGGAAGAAAAACAAATAGACACAAACCTGAAATAGGGCACATCATGCTCTTGCTCTCTTATATCAACTGACTTTGTTTCAGTCACTGCCATTTCTGTAGATACAGATACTGTTTCATTGGATTTCTGAATGGAAGACTCCTCATCAGATTCACTTGCTGAGAAATATGAAAAGCATTTACTCAGAATCTGGTAAAAACTAAAAAAGGCACAGTGATAAACCATACATGAACTTGATACCTTCTCCTTGCAAACTTGTAGTCATTTGCTGTTCTTGAATGTCTTGATCAGAAGGTGAAATTTGACTTTTTAAATTAGGCTCCTGTACCTTAGTTTCACTGGATTTTTCAACTGTATTACTAAGGAAAAAAAAAAGAAAAGAGATATGCTTAAGAATTAAGAAATGTTGAGCAACTGACCAGAGATATGACCAAACACACAAGACTTCAAAATTTGAAGACTATTTTTGGTTCACACAACAAGCTATTCCTATTAAAATAGATAAATAGATAAAGCATGGGAAGGATTATCAATTATATAGTTTGCCTTGCTAAATTAAGGCCACTTTTGATCATGCAATAACAGCAACTGTGATCAGTTGTTATCAACAACTTGTTACACATGGAATCTCACTACAGAAATATCAGAAATATTTGCTGTAGCATCACAAAAGTTGCATTGCATTTTAGGTTATTAGAAGCAAGAATCTTACACTGGAGATTTGGAAAAATCCCAGAAGGCATCAGGTGACAAAAATGCATTTGCCCTAGAAGGAGTCATGGGTGTAACTTTGTAGGTTGTCAGTCCTTCTAAGGGCTGAAATACAAAATTTTGTGGTGCAAAGGAGCGTGTTCTGGGTCTTCCAGAAGCAGAATTGTTCTTTTCTCCAGACGTCTGTTCCTGTTTAAGTTCTGATGCTGAACATATCACTGGGTCCAGTGGAGCATTTTCATTCACTTCATGTTTAAAAGGAATTACCTGCACAAACAAAATAAGCACTATATTATCAAATCAGAGTGTTTACTAATAGATGTTAGCAGAATTATAAGATGAGTGCTTGAAAGCCAACAAAAAAGGAACAATTTCAGGTAATTTGCTTTCTACAACTGTGTACATGTACAGAAGTCTTGATTTACCATAGGTCCAACTAGCTTTTGACACCTGCAAATCATTCTCGCAGCAGGGGTAGCAATTGACTATGAGGAATGTAATAATCCATTGAAGGGGCCAGAGCAGCAAAGCACCTGCCTAGTGGAGCAGTAATTCAAACCAGCAAATGCTTCTCTCACTGTTAGAAGAAAATGCTTGAAGGTGATAAGTCCTCAAGAGCTGAGTAGCATACTGGCTCCAAATCCAACTAGGCTTGTTGAATAATCAGTTTATACACACAACCTAACTTAAAGGCTGAAGAACAAACTAAAACAAGTTGATAGTTGAGGAATGCAGCCCAAGAAAAGGAGAATACAAGTGCACTTAAAAGCAGAGAATGTTGTTGAAAGAGAAGAAAGTTCACATTCCTATGAGATGAGTGGCAAGACAACTATTCAGAACATTTCTGAGGTACCTGTATCAAGATATTGTTAGCTCAAATCAGCCAAAAGATATCAGACTGTTTCTTGAGAAAAGATGCATCTTCAAGACACTGGAAATTCTGTTATACTTTAGATACCCTTGCTTGGAATGTAAGCTTTGAATTTTAACAGATTTCTTGTGGCAATGTGACTAAGGTTACAGCAAGGGCTTACCACCTAGCAGCATCAAGCAACTCCTGCAAGAGGTCCTTACCTGAATTAAGATACAAGTGCCTTTTACCTCCTGTCAGTGTTTGTGCACAAATAAACCAGCTTTGAGACAATACTTGTACACAGCTGCAGTTGCTGAAATAGGACTGGAGAAGGAAGATGTGGGGGAAGCACTAAGTGAGAGGGAATAGGGGAGTGTAGGGAGGGGGAAAATAAACAGATGCTTCTGCACAGGACTGTCAGGGCATGAATGCAACATGAACCATTTAGGAACCTGAACTGAAGGACACAGTGAATTCAAATGCAGTGGTCTCCACACTGAAGCAGTAAAGTTTGGTTTGGATTTTCAGTGGGATAACAAAAGTGACTACCTTTAATTATAGCTGGGAATCTTTTTCCCTATGATATTTACCATGTTCTTGGCATTCAAAAACTGAACATGCATTTAATCCTCAGACTCTAAAGCCTCACATTATTACTACCTGGTCATTGAAAGGATACATTCGTAGTAAGCTGCAAGAATAAATGCACTGTATGAAGTTTATAAACATTAGATAAAACCAGAAAACTGAAAAAGATCTTGGTATTATTATTATTTTTTTTAAGTAGCAGAAACATCACATAAAAGATGTGTCATGAAAGATCTCAAATTTAAATCTCTGTTCAAAACTTGAGGATTGGTAAATAAGTCATCCATACCTGCAAAGCAAATTTGGTCTTAGGTTTTAACATTACAACATAAGTACAGTTTTGTCCCAAAATCTATTAGTGAGCTTTCTGTTACTTTGACACACAAGTACGTCTATATTTAAGAAACACTTGCACTACTATTTTTACTGGCTCTTAAATCAATTTTACTGCTTTTCCATTTCAAATATTTCATGACCTACCTCTATGACGTCAGGTTTGACTGCTTTCTTCTGCTTTGCTGCATTTGCTGGCTTTCTCTGTGACAGGTTACCTAAAAAGAAACAAACTCCAGGAGTTCAAAACACATCTGATTAAAAGAATCATTCACCAATGTTTTCAAAAGATTGATGCAAAAGTCTGGTGGTTAAAGACAGGGAGAGATGGCATTGCTTCTTGAGTGGGAGGGGGCCAGAAGGCAGATACCTAATTGCAAGTGTTCATTCAAAAGAAAATCTAGCCTAGGATTTAACAGTCTAATAAGAGATAAATCACTGGGAAAAGAGATTCATTAAGCCATTAGCCTTTACATATTGTCAGGTGCTTAAAAAGAGTCACCTCATTTCCTTAAAGGCTGAAGAGACTGAAGTCAAATGAGTTTAGACTGTGACTTCATGCATGGCACAGGACTTCTATCGGTGGATCAAAACCAATACTATCACAGTATGCACTTTCAACCTAGGGGTTATTTGTTCACATATAACAGATATTGCAAAACATTTTGGAGAACACCTTGAGGACAAGATCATAATTCTAAAAATATCCCCTTCATTAAACCATCAAATTCCCCTACTTGAGTAAGCAAACATGAAGAAAGAATTCCTGAGTTGGAGAACGTGGGATCCCATCTTGTCCAGACATACCTATTCTTTATGAGTCTTATTAATCCTTAAACAGTAATACACCAAACTGGCAAATCTTTATTAGTCCAGTTTTTGTTCTTTCAATCTATAATTATTATATTGATAGCCCACACAGATGGATTTTTACAGCAAACTGTCCGATGTTGGTTTCAACATCATTATTTAAATATTCCAACAGAGTTTCAGGTGAGATTTTAAGTCACAGGTATTTGCTCATTTTCTTACATGACAATTTAGCATGATTGCTCCAGTCTATCTATTCCAAAGAGACAGCTACACAGCAGAATGTAGTGTGCTAAGCCAGTTCAGAACTAGCTGATATGCATCTCTAGAGCACAGAGTGTCTGAGATAAACAAGATCCTAAAGACAATGCTGTCCTAGTATATCATTTGACAGTGAACTTAGCAGCAGTACAAATTCACATGCTGTTTCCAGTACTCACACACACAGTATCAGCCAGGACACCTCTGTACACCATATCAAATACTTAGATAACAGCTACACATGGACTATACTTACTGCCTCACTTACCAGTAGTAGCTGCAGCTGTTTTCGGCACCTGCTTAGCTGCAGAGGCAGCTGCTCTGGTAATTCTTACATTTGATGCTGTCTGGGCTGAAGGCTGCAACACTAAGAAATATTAATTCCAGAGATTTCAAAGCTTGCTCAGGAGATGTGTTTAAGTAATATAATTAAAAGCTTTGGTTTTGCATTAATCAGAAGGCTGTACGAGTAACTATCAGTTACGTTAGTTTGTTAGAATCATAGAAATGCTTGGGTTGGAAGGGACAGAAAGGACCACCAAGTTCCAACCTTCCTGCCACAGGCATGGCCACCAACCAGAATCAAGAGGAGTGGTTTAATCACTTCTGTGCAAGGAGTGCTAAACAAAGACAGCACAGCTCAGCCTTGGCATCAAGCTGATACTCTGCAGAACCTTGACAGGAAACATCTTCATTGTACAGTAGTGCTTCCAGTATCATGATAAGACCAACGTATCAGTGTGCCAGATGCTAAGTACAAAGCTTAAGGAACCCTCCTCAGTGTTCCTGCAATCTCAGTATCAACATCATCCTATCTTTCAGATGAAGCCTTCTGGTGGAATAACTGGTAGTTCTCTGCACAGCTGGAAACTTAAGCAAGCCATCTCTGTGACAGCCAGTGAGGCCTTGGTCATCACATTAAAGCATTCTAAAGTGTGAATTTATTAAATTACATTAAAGTATCCTTTAATTTTAATCATACCTGAAATATTTTTTATAAAATATGACTCAAGTTCATGCACTACGTTGTCATTTTAACCATTTTCATCCACGTGTTTTAGCACCTTTTCCTTTTACCTTCAAAACCAATAGCATTAACATGCACAGAAAAATTTAACAGCTCTTTATTTCATGCTCTGCCTTTCTATATCTGTAGAAAATCTAGTAGCCCACTTGGTTATTGTTAATGATATTTGTCTTTTAAAATGCTGCTCTGCTTTCCACAGAATTGCTGTTTGACAAGTTGGGAAAAAAATTACTTGCTGAATAACCATAACATTGGATTTACCCAAATATGCACTTCCCTAACATTTTCATACTAGTGTTTAAGTACATAATGCATATTCTTCATTCCCCAAAAGCATTATCAAATCTAGTGATTAATCTAAATTAATGTTTTAATTGTTATTCAAACACTGATGAGAAATCTGTTCAGCATTCACTGAAGGCATGAATGAAATTTATTTAAATAGACATCTGCTGCTTGCTGACTTAATTACATGGTGATGTGAAAATAACTTCACATTGAATTACAGAATATCATGTGTTAACTATTCTACATGACTTAGCATTAACAACTTGAAGCCTTGACATTTCTGCACTACCAGGAAGAATTTACTATTAAATGTATTCTCTACTTGCTTAAACAGACATGGCTTGGGTTGGTTTTGTTTAATTTTGTTTTGTTTTCTCGAGAAGTGTATGGAATCTTCACATTGGAAGTGCAACAGCTAGACAGATACAGAAGGAGCTGTTTCGAAATATGAAAACAACAGATTGTGCTTGTCATCTATGGAAGCAGACAATCACAAATGTACTCGGTTACATCAGTGTGTATCAGAAGTTGGGGCTCTTGCTCCTTGTGCTAAACACTCGTGCTCTACCAGAAGACTATTCTTTCTAAACCTATTTCAATGTTATGTTATATAATAGGTTTCATGTAGCATTAATAGCATAACTACTGCACAGTACCAAACTCCGCTCAAAATATTTACAGCTCATATAATTAGCTGTTTTTTGGGATATCTATAATACCAAAATTCATATTTTACTTATATCAGCTTGTCTTCTACTTATATATCTTGTCTTTTCCAGCTGAAGTCACAGAATCACAGAATGGCCAGGGTTGGAAGGGCCCTCAAGGATCACGAAGCTCCAACCCCCCTGTCAAACACGCAGGGCCACCAACCTCCACATTTCATAGCAATCCAGGCTGCCCAGAGCCTCATCCAATCTGGCCTTAAACACCTCCAGGGATGGACAGGGCATCCACAGCCTCTCTGGGCAGCTGTTCCAGCACCTCACCACTCTCACAGCAAACAACTTTCCCCTGACGTCCAACCTCAATCTTCCCTCCCTCAACTTCAAACCATTTCCCCTTGTCCTGCTGTTATCTACCCTTTCATAGAGTTGTCTCCCCTCCTGTTTGTAGGCTCCCTTTAAGTACTGAAATGCTGCAGTGAGGTCACCCCGCAGCCTTCTTTTCTCCAGGCTGAACAAGCCCAGCTCCCTCAGCCTGTCTTTGTAGTGGAGGTGCTCCAGTTCCCTGATGATCTTTGTGGCCCTCCTCTGGACCCTCTTCAACAGCTCCCTGTCTTTTTTGTACTGGGGGCTCCACACTTGGATACAGTATTCCAGATGGGGCCCCACAAAAGCAGAGTAGGGGGGGACAATCACCTCCCTGTCCCTGCTGGCTACCCAGTCATTTAATCTATAACAGCAGCAACATGTGATATTTCCCTTAGAGGTAAATAGGAAGCTCTGTATAGCTCCAGCTGTGATACAGCTAGCAGCCATGCAATTCTGCCTATTGACCTTCTTCTCCCTTTCCTGCAGTGATCATCGGTAACCACAACTGCATTAATTATCCTGCATTCCATCTCCCCCAGTCCACAGAAGCTACAAGTATATAAAATATCTACAGTCACATGATCCATAGTCTTTCAGCAGTTGCCTTTGTTCTAATTGCAAGAAATGGTCATTCTAAAAACAGTTGTTCCCTAAACCCCAATATGTACTGGGGATCTTTCCTAAAAACATTCCTTGCCTCACTCCCACAGTGCTACAACTACTGGCTCAAAAGAATAACCAGCCATGTCCTTTCAGACCCAGATGTGGGATCATTCAGTTTCATACCTTTCCCCTTTGCAGTCGTTTTGTCTGTACTCATCTGCTTACGTCCTGCTTGAGTGGGGCGCACGCTCTGCCCATTGGCACAGACCTGCAAGGAAATATCACGTTTCATGAAGAACCAGGATTGCTAAAATGAAGTAGCCCAGCTTCTTTCTTTATCTTTCTCTCCTAGGCTCCAGTTAAACAAAAGGCAGGTAATTCAGAACAAAGGTATTTTAAACATTACAGTGATATTAAGGATAACTAAAATAGCTCATTTCAGGTGTTAAAATACCAACTAATTAAGATTTTATCTAACAGAATGAAGAAAATTATTCAGTTTACTCTGAAAGTAGATGGTAATTATTGTTGCATCTTGGTACATATTACGTGATCTAAAAGCCACCTTTCAGGAAAAAAAAGATCAGAATTAACTCAGTTCTCCCTCCCCGCAGCCATGATTGGAAACCTTCCAAATGCATTCAAGTTACACAAGGCAAGATTGCTAGATGCAAATTATAGCTCCTTTTACAGATTACTGCTGATGAAATTCCTCAGAAAACCTACTTTTTAATACAAATAAAACCATGAGACTATCAAGAGTCCTAGTAAAATATGCCAACAGTGAATTGATTCCAACTTCTAGCAGTAAAAATTTATCATGAGTGATAGCTACAGTAATTGCTTTCCAACAACATACATCTTCATTTATAAGGCTTGAAGGCTGCAACATTAAATGGAAATTTGCACGACTGCTACATCTTCTTCGACTTCTAGCCACTGGTTCTACTTACTTATTATCCAGACTAGGTGGAAAACACAAGATAAAGATCTTCTGGCATAGGAAATTTTCTCTCAAAATATAACAACTTCATATCCAGCTTGTTGAAAATAATAAATTTGGCAGTGGTGGTCTTACATACATTAATGTGGGGTGAAATATTCTACAAGTTAAATATTTCATCTGTATGAAATTAAGATGCCAAATAGATAAGATTTCAACAGTTTTGTGCATCAGTTCTTCACTACAGGCTCCGTGAAATCAAACTTATGGGGTCTGATGGGCATCTCAATCACACATCTTTAAACAGGTAGCTAAATAAGATGGCATAACATACAATAATATTTTTAGGTTGAATTTTAAGAACAAGTGTTCTTCCCCACTGTGAGAGCAAAAACATGCACAGTGTTAACAAGCAGTCCATTTGCTGCGTTCAACTTTTTGAAGCTGTGGTGTAATGCAGAAAAAGAACTGACTTAATCTGCATTCACAGAAGACTTTCTGCATCCAGGAGAGGTTCCCCAAGCCAAAGTATTTACTTTCAGTCTCATTACTGCCTCTATTCTTACTTGCATTCCTCGCTGACTGCAATAATATCTCACATGGAAAAAGGAATCTGAAAGATCAATGCACTTTTCTCTGTATTGACTTAATCGAACTCCGTAGCTCAGTTCAACACAATGCTCAATCATCACAATAAATTCTATCAGCATGCTGAAAGCTTTTCTGACCTAATCTGCCCTTTTCATCAGGAAAACCTGCTTGGAGGTATCGTTTTTCACGTCAGAATACAACCCTGATTTACATGCTCAAGGATAATTACATCTTTTTCTCCCAGTTTATTCACTAAAGTTCAGTTAAGGGACAAACCATAGAGGGCTTCGATGCAGTTGATATCACAGCCTTTTCTGTTTGGTTCTTGGCCTTTGATCGAGTAATCCTCTCAGAGAAAGCAGGAGCTGCCTGGAAACATTCCCAAGGAAACAAGAGTTAACGTGCTCCTTTCTCTCCCTGCCATCACTGACAGTGAGCAAGAAGCCTAAGTAGGTAAAGCAACAAGTCTGTGCACTTGAGAGTCAAAACATATCAAGTGTGTAATTTGAAAAACTCAGATGGACTAAATACAAACAAGTTACCAGTTCTAAAATAGCTTAGCTCTTTTATTTGCAGATGAATCACTATTTTTTGAAGTGAGGCCACAGTCATAACTACAAAAATTAACACAACTCTTGTATTTCCTGCTTTGCTAAAAAAAAGAATGAAATTACTCCCTTATCATTCCTTACTGTAAAATATTTATGAATTATTTATACTATATTTACTTTACATAACTTGCATAACATTGTTTACATAATCATAAATTTTAATGTCATATACTACATAAGATTCATTTAGATATTTACTGTTACTCTTATTACCTTTTCTTTTGGCTTTGTTGTTGTGGGAACTTCAGGTGCAAGTGAAAGAAATCCACATGCAGTAGGTTTATATAACCCAACTTTAAACACACCCTTTTTTGCTTTTTCTCTTTGCTCTTTTAGTTTTCGGAGTTCCTTCTCTTCTTTATAGCGTTGAAGCATTTCCCTGCGTTCATTCATCCTCTTGGTGGCTGCATCTGTAGATTGTTCTGAAGTACAGATATACATGATTTATTACATTGAAGATATTTTTCATCCAAGGAAAAGTCAGAAACTAAGCAAGTCTGAGAACTGCTAGAAAAATGTTCCAAGATCCAAGATGAAAACACTAGGTCAGCAAGAAGAGTACAAGGAGGATGTGGAACTTTTAGAGTGGGTCCAGAGGAGGGCCATTAAGATGATCAGAGGGCTGGAGCACCTCTCCTGTGAAGAAAAGTTGGGGGAGCTGGGCTTGTTTAGCTTGGAGAAGAAAAGGCTCCAGGGAGACCTCATTGTGGCCTTCCAGTACTTGAAGGGAGCGTATAAACAGGAGGGGGAACGGCTGTTTGTGAGGATGGATAGTGATAGGACAAGGGGGAATGGTTTAAACTGAGACAGGGGAGATTTAGGTTGGATATTAGGAGGAAGTTTTTCCACCCAGAGGGTGGTGAGGCACTGGAACAGGTTGCCCAAGGAGGTTGTGGATGCCCCATCCCTGCAGGCATTCAAGGCCAGCTGGATGTGGCTCTGAGCAGCCTGGTCTGCTGGTTGGCGACCCTGCACATAGCAGGGGGTTGGAACTGGATGAGCATTGTGCTCCTTTGCAACCCAGGCCCTTCTGTGATTCTATAAAATGACTGGAATATGTGCCTGCACTTTTCAATTTGTTTTATAACACAAACACATGATCTGTCAGCTTGCTAAAAGCCTAAATTCTCTGCAGTGTATTCAGTGATAAATTCCAGCTTGCAAATACGTGTCCTCAAATCTGCATCCTAGAAGTGCTGCAAGTTCATGCCATTTTATAGTGTACAGGCTGTTCCTGCAAGGCTACTAGTACTAAAGTAAACACTTTGACATAGTTTATTAATCAGCTGTTTTGTACCAGCTTCTGTATTGAAATACTTGAATGGACTGTATGGCCATGTTCAGTGAGTTACAGTCAACTCTATGGTTATGTAATTATCACTGCAAGCTGAAGAACAGATCAGCTTTAGATACCAAATACTGAAGTCTGCTGGAAGCTTAGAGTAAGTGACATGAAACGTGAAAGAACAAAACCTTGAGTGATGTGTCTGTCTGGAAAAAACAAACTATTGAACGTTAAAGTTTATCGAAGATGATCAGGCTGTAATTTCTCAAGTTATGTATTTGATGTGATTCCATAGGGATTTGAGTCTTTCCTTCAATTATTTTTTTCCCTATCAAAATACTGAATGTGGAAATATTTCTAAAGAACTCTGTAAATAGCTTTAAAGAATTACTTAGTTCTTTAGTCATCATCACACAGAAGAGCCATGCAGAAGAATCTAGTATGTGCAAGAGTTGTTTTCCCAGAGAAAGGAGAAATTGACAAAAAGGAGCAAATTAAAAATGAAATTGAAAGATGCATTGCCAATTTCTAACCATTCTTTAAGCATGTAACAGATAGCAGTAGTACAGAGATGAGATTATAGATCAAGGTCATTCACTTCTTAAATAACAAAGCCATCCTAGTGAATATTAACAGCACAATGCATTCTTCCTTAGGATGCTGTGGAAGAAATTAAGTAAAGACTGAAAAATAGTTCTGGAGTCATAAAGGATGGTATTAAATCTATTTTCTTAATAGTTACAAAGAGTGATAGTTACAAATTAAAACATGGACCACATTTAAAAAGCTATATAACAAGGCTTTACTTACTCTGTTTCAAACTGCTGTTTTCTTGTGAGCACATTTCACTTGCCCCACTTACTTGAGAAATCCCCCTCGTTTTTGACACCTGAACATTGACATCTGTCAGTCCAAACTGTCTGCCCTTTTCAAACAACTTGTGTCTGTTCTCCTTTTGGAGCATGGATTTTCTGCGAGCAACTTTTGTTCTGATGGTTTCTGTACTCAAATCCTTTTTGTACCGACTGGCAAAGTGGGAGGTAGCAGCCATCTTGATTATCCTGGACAAAAATTGTAACGATAGGAAAAAAAAGGAGACATGGTTTGTTCTGCCCTTTTAATTTGAGTTTGTATGTCACAGAGATAGATCTCGATTCTTCATTTCTGCATTTTCTCTGGTACATGTACAAGTGACAGTTTCAGCAATGACTCTTCATTTTATGTATTCAAGGTGCTAGTTTGCTTGCTAAGTAATCAACAACTCTGAGACAGAATTAGCAGGGAAGGCTTTGTCATTGCCAGGGACTGACTTGCCTGTTTTCAACACAGATGTTTTTCTTGTTAAGGAGACAAGCAAGCAAATGACAAGGTTGTAGGACAATACTTGGAAGCAACATTGCTACTAAGCATTTAGATTATGGCCTATCTGATGGCAAGGCATTTTTGTCATGCATCAGAGCACTTGGCTCTGGTTCCTAATTGAGTTTCCAGGATGCAACTGCAACACAATAGCATTTATTTCGAGCAGGATTTCTCCCTACTTTTTTAACTTGAGGAAGACCTAATGAAAGCAACAGTTGATCTGTACATGCTGTGCTTACAGCAATGCAAAAAGCACGATTCCCTGCATCCTTCTAAAGCCTTTTTGAGAGTTTTCATGCTTCCTCAGGAGAGGAACATAAGGTGAGTCTGTGCTCTGGGGCTGGCAGTGGCAGCTCCTTGTGCCCAACTTCATGGTAAGTATCCATGCCTAGAATAACTTGCACATCACCAGCAGGGCTTGCACAGCCATTTGGAAGGGCTTGGGATAAATATTAGAGACAATGAATGAGTCAGAAATCTATATGGCTATGCTTTGCATCTTTTTCTTCCCAATACGCTTAGCGCTTCAGGAGGGCAAAACAGCTTAAGGAAGTTTAAATGATCAAATGGAAATAAAAAAGCAAAACTCAGCTTAAAGTACTCAGGTTAGAGACCAGATGTCTTCCATATAATCCTGGAAGAGTTGGTGCACATCAGTAGCACCTGATTAATATCTTTCATTGGTTAATGTCTTTTCATTTTACGTTCCAACTTTCAGAAATTCATTAAAGATGCCAGTTAAGGGTTGCATTGCAAATGACCAGATGGAATCTACCATAGTTCACACGTCATGTTTATCCTGATTTACAGGTAAGCAATTAAGGAAAGTTAATACATGAACTTCTCCATCTCATCTTTGGGCTGCTCGTTAGTAGTTCCTCTGGTGTTATGAAAAGCCCTTCAGAAAACAGTTAGTGGAAGCATACCTCTACTATCTACCTCCAGTAATAGGCAGGTTTTTCTATACCCACCAAAAGAAAACCATTCCTAAAAGCAGCAGCTACTATCAAGACTCTACAGCCATCCTCTGTGGATGTCGCGGTGGTAAAGCTGATAATATTAAAGATTTGAGAGGCCCAGCCAAGAAGTTTATCCAAACTAAACGGACGTTTCTTTCAACTAAAAGCTAACTGTCTGTGTATGATCCCAACTGCTCACTTCTGAGCCTGGTCTGCTGGTTGGAGACTCTGCACATAGCAGGGCGTTGAAACTAGATGATCATTGTGATCCTTTTCAACCCAGGCCATTCTATGATTAATACTTGGTGCATCAATCCTGGAAGCTCCAAGAGCCATCCCTCCAGACTCTCACCTGATCTGATTCCTCCTTAGAATTGTGACACCTAGCAAGCTACTTAAGGAGTCAGTCTGCCCCAAGGATGGGTACCTGGCTTTGTTAACATCAGAATGATTCTCTCCTTATCTCTTTAATTACTCTGTAGCAGCATTTAGGCTTGGGCCTCTGCAACCACCAGGCAAAGAACAGAGGAGCAAAGCAGGGAGATGCCATCCAAGTGTACCAAACTATGAGCAGAGATCATGAAGCTTCTGCCTGAGCTGTCAGAAACAATACATGCTATTATACACAGGAAATCCTCAGGACTCTGACAATTTACAGGTTAAATTTCCAATGTTTAAGTCTCTTTATCTGCTCTCTATAAATACAGCAGGCTATCCAGACTGCAGGCATATTTTTTAACTTGTGGAAGGTACCTTATCCATACAATAGCTGTTAGCTATCAGGCAAGCTTACAAAAACCTGCGTTCGCCTTGTACTGTGGCAAACATTTTAACACATTTCAAGGACTTTTATGCTCTGTCTTCCATTTTAAGAAGTACTGCTCTAGCTATTGTACTATAGGCTTTCTTAGGTCCTCCTGCCGGCTTTTAAGCAATTAATCCTGTAGACACGATCATGTGAAACCTGAAGAAGACAAATGCAGTAACAGAGCTCCCCACTCACTTTTAACACAAAGATACCCTCATCCCACACCCTGGATTAAGAAAGAAGGAAAGTAACAAAGCAGTAGCCTATTTTAGCCGCAGTGCTTACAGATTACAGCAAACACAAATATCATTTTAAAGTCAGGACCTGGATTCCCTGGATCCTCGGGGATCACAGCAAACCGCCCACCGCCTGCCCAGCTCCCCCTGAGGGCTGCCTCAGGTTCTCCCCCCGAACCCATCCCGCGCTGCCAGCCCCACCATACCTCGCTGGCCCCGCCGCTCCGCTTCCCTCAGCGCTGCCGCCTCCACTCGCTTTCAAATTTCACCTGGCGCCCCTGATTGGCCAGCCCCGACCAATCAGCGGGCATTCATTGGCTCTCTCCTAACGGACGGTTGATGGGCAGAACCTAACTCGCGGAGTGAGCTGTTTATTGGTTAGCGTCATCGCCGTGCTTGATGCTCATTGGCTGCGCTGAACATTGCCCCACCCCGCGCTTGCCGCTCATTGGCTGGAGAGCTGCGCGGGGTGGGGACCTCTGGGAGCGGAGGCGCTCTAAGATGGCGGCGGGCTGAGGCGTTGTGGGGTTTTTATTGTCGTCTCAGAGGTCTGGGGGGGCGGGTGGTCTGTATCCTCAGGACCTCGCTTAGGTTTTTCGAGGAGCTATGCCAAGCTCTTGCTGCCAGCATACGCCTGTCTGCCGTGCTTGCCACCACAGGGAGCCGGTTTGGGGGCGTTGTTCCGGTTGTGTGTTGTGACAGAAAAGCACTGATGTTCTCAGAGGGTGCTGTGGGCGAGAAGGAGGCGACATTGGAGCATTGCCACCATAGCATGAGGAATTTCTGAGGTAACTTTGTCCTGTAAGGGCATGAATAAAGTGTTGTCTGAGACTTATGAACGCACTATAGGATTTTTCAGCTATGTCAAGGATAACCTTGCTTTTCTGAGAAACTTAATATATTCCTTACCTTTATGTATCCTTCATATTCGTTCTCTCATTTGTAGGAGTATAAATCAAGGAACAGTGTCCTGGCTTCCTGTGGCTGTGTTTGGTGCCACTCACGTGCAAGGTGATTTGTTCTGCTTTTGTTTATCACAGTAGAAATGCAGAAATGTTGATGAGGAAATCAGCCACTTGGTGGCACTGCAAAAATGTAGACACTATACGAGTATGGCCAGACAGGGAACTGCTGAGTGCACTGGTCAGCAACAGCCATATCTTGCAAGCAGCATCTCCTAATGGCACTATGGTAAAACATCAGTAAATTTTTATTTAAACACGGTTACAGTGAATGGAGACAGCAAGAAGTGGGTTAAAGGCTGCCCAGTCTGAGTGCAGAGCTGCTTCTTGCAGCAGTGATCTCTTTTGCACCATTTGGCTTTTTGCATCACTGAATACAGCTGGTGGAGAAATGCCACCACACGTTTCCTCGTGTGGGCTGCCCAGGGATACAGCAAAGATTTGGAAACTTTGAAAATCCTGACCATAAAATTCTTCATTTACTGTAAAATAATAATAAATAGTTTGGAGTTTATTGATGCTCTCAGGTACCACAGTGGTCTAAAAAAGATAGCTACAGGAGTTTGTATTTGTAGACTCTGCTCATGGAGTCCAATGTAGTCCTGACTCTTTGCTGCATTTTGTTACTGCCATTTTCCTCCTGGATCAGTGGAATTTGAGAGCATTCAAGAATTCTACCCTATGATATCAGAATAAAGAACAGTGATTTGAATCATGCTGAGTCACTGGCTTTCAGAAAAGGAAAAAAAAAAAGTTTTCCAACCCAAAATCATTTTTTCTTATTTCATACTGGGAGAGCATCTAGACCAGAGCTGTTGCTCAGTTAATTTCTTCTTGAGTGTCTGTAAGTACTGAGTTTAGGCAGTGTGGCTGTACTACAGCCTGGGCTTTAACCTCACCAGCTCAAGTAACATCAGTGATAGCCTAGCAGGGCACACTCCATGCAAACTGGTAATGTGAGAACGTAACTTAGGTCCTTGGCAAGCTCAGGCTGTGCCTGCAGCTTCACTGGTTGTTACCTGAGCTGCCTAGGCTTCAGCCAGAATGAGTTTCCTTAACGCACTGCAATTACACTTTCCACTAACGATATCTAGGACACTGCAGTGGTCTTTTTGTATTTGAATAATGCCACTATTTTAAAGTATTTCAATGTCACTTTAAGATAAAGCATGGTAATTTTTTTTTTCCAGCCAAATTCCTGATTGCTACTGATTTTACTGTGTTAAGAGGAATAAACATATTACCATTTAATAGAGATAAAGAAGCAATATGAATACATAAACTCATTATCTTGTACAGATATTATACGTGTCTGAAAGATTAAATGTGTCATTCTGATGCAGTCCTGATGATTTTGTGATAATATGCTTGCGTTTAAGTCACTGAAGCTTTGAGAACCAATTAGAATTTCCCTGTTTCTTGACAATATGAGTGTTGTTATCAGATACATTTTGTACCAAAGAAATCATTTTGTGGAAATCTCCTACCATTCTCTTCCTACTCTACTTTTCATTCTTTCATGTGAGATACTGTGTTTTGTGAGGGTAATTCTTCCTACCTTTGCATAAATGCCCGTTAGTGAAGAGCAATACATAGAGAAACCTATCCTTAAATATAGACTAGAAATAATTACAATTTCTGAATATATTTTTGGCAAAAGCTCAGGCAAATGGAGTTACAAAGCTGTAGTCCACAGCATCACGTAGCTGCTGCTCTCCTGCTGTCAAAGGAAGAAGGCCTCCACAAGGAGTACAAGTAGCACAGCAGTGACAGTGACCCACAAACTCCCTGATGTGTCAGCCTATAGCCTGGGAGGGGGGCATGTATACAGTCCTACCTTGGGCCAAGAAGGAGATTTATATTGGGATTCCCACAAGGACAAGGAGAGCTTCCCTTTTTTTAGGTGTTTTCTCTACTGCCTCAACTATATGCAACAAACCACATCAAGCACAGTTCCTGCAGCACGCAGTGTTAAAAATAAAATGGTAACCTCACTCCATTGGACGAGCCCTCTTTGTATCATTTCCTGCAGCCAGGTCTCTGCAAGGAAGGTGGGAGTTTCCACTCACCCTTGGGAGCTCTCACACTTACTGGGTTATAAATAGCAAGGTGAGGTACCTGACTCGAGGTGTTAAGTTGCACTCTGGCAGCCTGATACCTAGCAGTCAGATGTTGTAGCACATTTATAAGCTCCCAGCTTTCACAGCATCGAGTCTAAAATGCAAACTAGCAATCTTAAAATGTGAGGTGTGGTTGAAAACAAGGTCTGGGTAGTTTTTATCTCTGCATATCTTTACATCCTCTGTTATTTACGTTGTGTTTACAGTGAATATTCCCTGCTGTTACAGTTTCCAGTCAAAAGCTGTTCTCACTCAGCACTACAGGTGGAAGCATCCTGCAGCTGGTCTCATGCTCCGAGGCCAAAAGCCATATTAAAACCATTTTCTTAAGGAAATTACATTCACTTTCAAAGAGATTCAGACTTTCTTCCTTTTTTCTTTTTTTTTTTTCCACAATGAAGATGGGAGCAGGAATTAACCTGAGAACAAATGCAGGATCAGCCCTAAGCCACTGCTGAGCGGGGAGCACACTTCCAGTTCTTTCCAGGCACTGTTTGGAGTGAGGTTACTGTGGGTGAACTGTACAGCTATCCCCTTTAGCAAAAGCAGATGAAGAAACTGCTTAGTGCAGTGGTATTAGTTGATGTTTCAGCAGCATTAGGTAGGTTTCTAATTGAGCTAGGTCAGGACCACTATGTTTTCATTTGAAAAGAGCATCCTCCCCCCAAGCATTGACAAGACACCAGTCGTTTTTTATTCTGGGTTAAAACCTGTGGTTTATTTCTCAGCATGTGACTCCACCATCCAGGAGCAGAATGTCTTATTTAGAAGCTGGGTGCAACTGATGGAGTGAAGTGTTTCACCACTAAAACAACAGCAAAGGAGATAAGGAACAGCTGGGTTTAGAGTGGAAAAGCTTTGCAGAATATGACTGCTAATTAAGATGGAAACTATAAATAAAGAGCTATAGTGACCTGGTTAATCCTGTGTACTCTGAGAGAGTTAAACTTCTCCAGGTCTCTGATAAGATAGGACTGGTTTTCTTTATCTGTTGTTTTTCCAATGTTCAAGGCTACTGAAATGCAAAAGTGCCAGATGGCCATGTAAGCTAAACAACATGCAAAATCTGTCTTATATTATCACTAAATGCCCTGGGTGGGGGAGAGATGATGGAAGGAGAAACCTTATTTAATCGTTACAAGTCACTTAGCAGCAAATGGCATTTTGCTGTCTTTTATCAACTTACAACAAAAGATTGGGTCTGTACAGTCATGGGGACTATTATGACAGTTTTCATTCCCCTTTAAGACATCTGGTGGTATCTTCTTGTGTCTGTCACTGAAATGTTGTGCTGAGCTAGTACAAAGGCTAGGGGAAAGAAATCACTGTGATCTTATACCAGAATACCTACTATGAAGCTACTGTGTCACCAGCAGCAAAACCCCATTGTTCTTCTGGCACTTTGTTATGATCCAGTGGAGAAAGTACTAGAGAGGTGAAGAGCTGCAGGTTCTGTTTTCAGTCCTCTCACCAATGTGATGTTTGACCTTGAGCACACTTTACCAGCATTTTCCTTCTTTTTCTCTCTCCAGCTTTGTGAACAGTGTCTGTGTAGCCAAGAGCCCCCAGAGGCTTTGGGAGATTCACCTCAGCCATCTGAGATGCCACGTTAATGCGATCCTGTGCCTTGGCTGATTAGTTCTGCTGCTCTGTAGGACTCTTGAGGCACGGTGCTGCACTGACGCAGTACACTGCTCTTAGCTTGACAATGGTCTCAGGGATCTTTTTGCAGTATTGCATTGCACAGGAGAAGTAGTCTCTCCATTGCAGCCTTCCTGCAGGCTGCAGGAATCAGCCCTTTTTGGTTTGCTTACAGATAGCCCCTGTCCTGATCTCACCGTGATCATCTGTGGTCCCCTGCAGGGACCTGCATCGCTCCCTGCTTCTCCCTAAGTAGCCATGAACTGCTGAAATCTTTTGAGGAGGGGGGAGGCTCCTCACAGGGTACACTGAGTCTCACACTACCATCTGGTGACACTACTTAATTCCCCTTCTCCCAATGCATTCCCTTTGCATTTCACTCTTGTTCTCAGTGCCTTTGGTTGAGAGGATTTCTCTGGTTGCCATCCCTTTCGCCCAGCATGCTGAGGTTTCCCTGTGTAAGACAGCACAGCAGCAATGCCTGGGGTGATGCTGGTGTGACCAACTGCGGCCCACGGCCTGCAATGCCTGTGGATACATCCACAGCAGAAAAAACAGCTCGTGTTTTTGTCAGCTGAGGGTAGCAACCACACAA